GCTTCCCCAGCACCAAGGCACAGATAGCACTCATTTCTTGACAGATGCCACCAGGCCTTCACCTATGCTGAATGTGCCCCTCCTTCTCAGCTGGCTGGACAAAAACAGTAATTGCCATTCACTGCTTTTCCACAATTAAACATCAGTCAAAATCTCAGAGCAATAAGCTGGGGAGCATTACTGAGACAGCACTGATGGAGCTGTGCATCCCAGTTACACTGCCAAAGAGGCCTTGCCAGCTTTCTAGGAGAAGCTTTGCCTTTACTCAGAAGGGCTCTGCACCCCAAAGGTACCCCAAGGATGCAAGCAGGCATCACCGCAGCGGTGGAGGACACGAAAAGGGGCCCTTGTGACAGAAATGAAAAGTTACAAAGCAGCAACAGGCAGATCACACTGCATGCATTTTCTGTTTCCTAGCCACATTTGCATATTTGAACTCAAGCTTTTTTCTGCATTTAAACTTTGTTTCAACACTAGATGATTTATAAATTATAAAAAAGTACAGAGGAGTGTTCCAGTATCACCCAATGCCAGCTCCTTAACTCATGATGAATAATAATCCCCAAGAATATCTAAAAAACAATTGTCATCTGGTCAAAATATTTTCACATTATCGTTGTCTTAATGTCCAAAATTCAATTAGAGCATTGTGTGGGGGACAGCATGTTTCACTTGGGTAGGAGAAAAACTAACTGCTTTTGCCCTGGATTCAACTACAGACCCAAGAACCATCTGGTAAAAAATCAACAGCATTGTGCAGGCAGCATATTAGTCATGAGATGTAGGACTCTGAGAACAATGCAAACTAAATTTGAGGGACAGATGAGGGAAACTTAATTACTTGCTTAAGCTTCTTCACAGCTCTGAGGAATTCTTAACACTTTCAGCAGAAGAATTTAGCACCAGAGGGCACAAAGCACATCCTCAACTGATTTCTTAATTTTCAGCAGACTCGTTCTCACTTCCAATGTGGGACTATCCACATTGGTCCACCACCACACAGCCTGCCTCCCCAGCAAACAGCTGCACGATGCACCACCTTGCGCTATGTACAGGGCAGCACCCAGAACCACACCACTACAGACCTGAGGGCAGACTGCACATCCTCCTCCAAACTAACTTCCTAAAGAAAACATTTGCCTGACATCACAGCCTGACTCAAACTTCTGCAGTACCCAGAAGCCCTCGCTGATGGAGCATGGGATCTCCTCCAGCTAATCACACAAGTCATTTTGTAGTGTAGCAAACACATGTATGTGTCCCCCAGTGACTGCTTAGGGCTTTGGCAAAAATGTCATCCAAATCCAGATCCACTCAAAGACCTTTCCTGTATCAACACTGTAACCTTTGGGGTTGGGATAAGCGTGAAGTTCTGGCACTGCTGGAAGTAAGATTTGCAAACAAGCACCATGGGAAGTGCAAGAAACACAGATGTTCAGCCTCAGGTCGCTATTATCTACACTCTTCCTCAAACCTTCAGCTGGAAACCAGGAAGGCTGAGTTTATTCTCTTATTCTCTGAAGGTTTCTTCTCTTCCTTCCAAGATAAACAGGCTGCTTTGTGGAAAACTAACTCACACAGAACTCAGTCCCCATCAGTCTCCCAAGACTCGGGCAGTTTTACAGCAAACAGAGTCCCCCGTGCTCACTGCTGTTTGGACAGGTGGGAATAGAGCAGACAGGCAGAAGAGCTGCAGGAGAAATTCACACCGAGTCAGCCAGCCAAAATCCTTGTGACTCTTTTGTTTGGACTCATCAAAGAAGTAAATTCCTGAATATGATGGTAATATGACAGTTGCTGATTTTACCTTTTTTTATACTAATCAGGTGTGGTGTGCAGAATGGATGATCATGATTCCTAATCTCCCTTCTCTGAAGCTGGTAGCTTAATCAGAAATGCCTTCTCTCTCTGCGCTGCACCGGGCTTTCTTGTCTCTGGTAGTGACCTTGGCATCTTCTGGGATTACAGGCCTGCAGGAACACAGAACTGGAAAAGACTGCCTGAATTATCAGCTCTAGTCCCCTAATAACACAGGCAGTCACATTATACAATCTCTTTCAGACAATCTTCTTTCTCCATTTCCCAAATCTCCAAAGCCTGTCTAAAATCCCAGATGCAAATAGACGCAAGTTGCTTTGTCACGCTGCTCCCTGGGGAAGGTAGTGAGGATGTCCCAAAAGAAGCTGTGCACAGAGCAGCTCGGGTATGGAAGCAGTACAGGTGTGGTCACAAGGTGCTGCACCAAAGCTAATAAACCTTATCGAGCTGCAGAACTCATTATCTCAGTTGCAGTGCTGGACAAACAGAACTGTATTACCTCTGGATTCAAGCTGCTGCATATGCATGCCACAGTATGGCACCACAAGGACTTGCAGGCTGGGGAATCAGCTTACTGGCTGCTAGCTCAGGGATCTCTGCACGAGTTCCATTTTACGATTTCCCAGGGCTTTCCTGCTCCAAAGCATGAATCTAAAACTGCTGTTTATATTAGCAAGAAGTGCCTTTCGCCACTTTCACAGAAATCCACCCAGATCTGACCTCCAAAGAGTGTAGCACACTGGCATTCAGGGAAACCTCCCTGCAGCCTCCCAGCAGCTCCCACCCCCTCACCTCTCCCTGTGCTGACCACGCTGCGTGCCTACCTTCACAGCAGCTGCATGCTCTCCAACCTTCCACAGCCTCAGTTTATGGCTGCTGCCTTTATTTGCCATACCTACCAAACAAGTTCCAGCCAAAGGCCCACAGGCACAGCCAGACTTCCCTCCCCAGGCCTGGCAACAGAACAGAGCAGGCAGGGCATCTTCCTGGATAGCCACTTACTCTGCTGCTAGCCAAAGTGTGCTTTGAAAGCCACGCTGTAATGACCAATCCTCTCAGGAAAAAAAACAACAACAATAAAAAAGATGTGGCGTGAGGAAAAGCACGTTGCTAAGGCCCAAGTTTGGCAGCGGAGTTGGGTTTCCAGTCCCTTGGTGGTAAAGCTGATGAGCTTGGAGCCTAGGGGGAAAATTTATTCCAGTGAATGCAAAGAGAGGCTTTTAAGTGACAAAAAGGCAAGTAAAAGGCAGGTCAAGAAGAAAACCAACAGAAATAATTCAAAATGAGCTTGGCAAGCTTACTAGACCTATTCTTGCTTCTATGGTAGATAATTAGTAGGTCTAGGTACAATATTCACTTTCATAGGCCTCCAGAGAAAGAAATCATTTCGAGCTGCAATAGGCAGCCAGCCCTCTCACAAACACTCAGCATGTCCTCTGCACATGGCTTTAAGAAACAAGGAAATTATCTATAGCCGCTATAATCGAAGATCAGAGCAATGAATCCAGCACTTTCCTATCAGAAGCCTAGCAACAGCATGTACCTCCCCTACCTTGGTCTCTTCTGGCTTTGATAGTTTCAGCTGCCTTTGAACATGGGCGAAGGATGGTTGATAAATTGCTTGCTAGGGCTGCTGCCCCTTCCTTTTAACCTTTCTTGTAACAACAGACCTCTGACAAGGCAACATTCATACATGCAACTCTCAGAACACATCATGCTCTTTAGAAAACACTTGGAATGAAATGACTCTAGATTGTATCTTATGACTCACAGCACACGGAGATTCATCTGTTCATAAATGAAAAAAAAAATAGGGCTTTCTTATCCTGAAAAGTTGAAAGCTTTTCCCACACCCAAACCACCCTGCTCCTGGCTGTCTCTGCAGGGTGTTGGCTTAGTCTCGCCAAGCCAGGACCCTCTCCCCTTCCTATCAGCAATTATCCCATGGCCCATCTACAGAATCAATGACCACAAGCCTTTCTGAGCAGCTCAGGAGCTCAGGCAAAGGTAGTGAGGGAGAGTAGGGACGGGGTGGATTTAAGTGCCTTCCTATGAACAAAACGCTGCCTGCAAAACCAGAGCTCCTACATACAGAGAGAAGTGCCCACCTTGAATTTCAACACTGATGATTGAATGCGCACACTTGAACAGTCTGCGACATCAGAAAGAGACTATCAAACTGTCTCTGCCTCAGAAAGGCTTCATACAACTGCATCCCACACAATAAAAGTGTTAAGATAAATAGTCTCTCTTGATATTTAATGGCACAGCTAGTCTGCCGCCTTCACTTCCCGCACAATGCCAAGCATTAGGTCACCACGACAGATATTTAAGTTTCCCACTCTCCAGCTCCCCACAGCCCACAATCTCCTGAAGCCTCCAAGGCCCTCATTTAGAGCATTCTGCAACAAGTTTCACTCCAGGGAATACAGTTCAGCGAGCAGGAATGTCAGCCTGAGCACCGGATGCAGAGCTGGTTCCTTTTAAAGGATAAGCACTATAATCAAAGGACTGTGATGTTGCAGATAGGCTGTACTTATGGGTCCAGCATCCACGCCACGCTACAGCTACTTAGAAAGGTGTGCTCTCCTCTAATTGTGTTACTTGTCAAATGTGACGGCATTCGGTATTGCAGAGGCTCTTTGAGGAAGATAATTCTGTAACTTGCACCCCTAAGGGGGGAAGGAACATTACGGTTGCTGTGGGAACCTTAATTCTGGATTTCAGGCCTTGCATATTTAAAACCTCAAATTTAACTTTGCATTAATGTAGCTTCATGCATTGAATTAAAGAATGACTCAGTACAAATCTCCGTGCATCTTCTGAAGTCCTGACATCCCAAGGACAAGAGGCTCAGAGCAGCACCACAGCGGTGTGGGGAATGCGAAGGGGAACTTGCAAGCATGGAAGTAAGAAAGCAGCTCACTGGAAGCACAGCAAAGCCCTCACCACGCCAGATATGCAGCTCAGAGCTCTTAGTTGTTCCCACGGAAGGTTACGTAGCCCAAATAGCTCAAAGCAGAAAGACGAAAGGGCATGGAGGAAAAGGTTCCTGAAAGGAGCAAGGGGAAGATTCCACGAAAGTAACAGGATAACCTGTGTTAGGAAGAGAAAGATCATACCCTGATAGCACAAATCTACTCATTTTTTATAATTAACATGGCACGGTTCCCAGATGATGCCCTTACAACCCGTTCAGCTATTCTAATATTTAACGCTTCTTTTACCCACTGCCTGGAAGTTGAACTGCAATGCAAGCAAGGCACCAGCGCTGCCCTAAGTCAGGGGGAAGCCCACAGAGGGCTACTACTCATTGAAAAGTGCCCCAGAACTCAACCCTGCCTTAGGAACAGGGCTGCAGCACTTCATCTTTTGCCTCGAGGCCAGTCCCCGTGCTGGCTGACACTTCTGCTTCCCAGCAGGGCAATCACACACCCGCCACCAACAGCAGGAGGAAGGACACCAGGCCGGCATCCTCTGCTTCTCAGCCCGGTAAGGAACATCCCCTTGGTTTACCACTTATCTCACATCAGCAGCAGCGTGGCTGAATTACTTCTTGGCTTAACCCACGCACTAGTGAAGCACAAATCTTAGCCCAGCCACAGGGCCTGCTCAGCCTCCCTCGATAAAAACCGGCGTGCCAAGCCAGGGTCTGCCTGCGAGGTTGTGGGGGGAAAGGCAAAGAGGCGACGTGCCTGCCAGCAGGGCCGGCTGTACAGGAACAAGCAACTGTGCATAGCCGGCGCAGAGTCAAGTTACTCTGCAACAAAGATAGAGTGTGTGTGTGCGTGCACAGGAGGGAAGGAAAATCCTTTTGCCTGCGCTCCAAGGCTTGTTTTGTTGTTGAAATAAATCTGTGTTTGTTCCTGGCAGGGATAGGGAGTCGGGCTCTACAGGCAGCAACTATCACAGCCCCCAGTTTCAGAGTTACGGACAGATTAAAAGAAAAAAAAAAAGGCAAAAACTGAGGCATTGATTACTTTTAACCTCTCGTATCTAGGTGAGGAGCCCAAGGGCAAACTGCTGATCTCAAGGGTGCCCCGAGCAGACAAAGCTGTGCGTCTGAGACAAACGGAGCAGCCCAGCAGCTGGCTGTTTCAGAGGAAATTCCAGTCCCTGCTCAAAGGCTGAAAATACATATGCTTTTCTGTACGCGTCTACTTTGCTTGCTGGATCTATATAACATTTTACACATGTTTTTCCTGACATTATTTTCCATATTCCACCAGAAACTTGAGCAACTGTGCCACTTCTGGAAAAACAACCTCGCGTCCAACTTTTGTCCCAGCAGCTTCTCCCTCCGCCCCCAGGCCTCCGGATCACACTGTTTCCCCACAACCACAGATCCTCTTCAGCAGGGCTCCTCCGCTACCTGGGCTGTCTGTCAGCAGCACCAAAAGCCCATAAAGCAGAGGCGTATGGGTGCGCAGGGAAGAAGGACACACAGATTACAGATGGGAGACAGCGAGCAGCATTATACGGCTAATTCTGTAGGTGAGGCACCTGTCCAAAGCTCTTCTCTCCACTGGAACTCAGAACTGCAGGAAAAGCCTGCTCGATACCCAGTTAGCAGTACATGCTCTATGTTTTTCTTTTTTAAAGGGGAAACTAAAGCCCACTGTGTGTAGAGGCTGCAGAGCAAAGCTCAACGGAGAGGGCCGCTCATGTTAGTGAGGAGCCCTTCAGCTTTCCATTCCTTATATGTGCAAAGTGTGCAAGCCCGCACACACAGCTCTCTACTCACCCAGAGGTACATCATGTTAGCCTGGGTCGCTCGAACCCAGCAGTGAGATGATCCGGGAACGCAGGAGGCACTTCAGGAAAAAGCTGACGAGACTGAGATTTTTTTTTTCTTTTAAATAAAAAATAAAACAAATCCGAATGGCTCAGTTTGAGGCTTAGAAAGCGTCTCGCCTCCTCCTCCCCCCTCCTCCAGCTCTGGCTGCTCCGCGCAGCGCTCTCGCACTTAATCTCTCCCTGGGAGTTCCCAGCCCGTGTGTCTGCACTGGCGTGCACAGCACACACTCTGCATTTGCCTCCAGGGAATTTCTCTCTGTCATTCTACTTCTGAAAACACGATCTCGGCCTCGCAAGATTCTTGCAAGAGGCAGGGATGGGTGGGGTTAGAAATAAATGCAGCCCAGCTCCCAGCACCAGAGCGAGCGCCTTATAAAAGAGGGCTCTCTGTGCATAAAGGAGGCAGAAAGCCATCCTCTGAGGCTGGGGACAAGTCCCCCTGTTGCTCATTGCTTCTCCCGGACCTGTCCCCCCAGCCCGGTGCTACGCACAGCACTGCGTGCCTTCACCTGCCCCACCAGCCAACACCCACAATTTGGTCTTGATTCTGCAGCCGCGCTTAATCACCGCCACCGGTTGGCACTGAGGGGAATCCTGACGCTGAGAAAACACACCACCAGTCACCCCGAGCGAGGCGAACGCTATCGGAGTGAGCTCGGAGAGAGGTAGCTCTCAGATAAAGGGGTTAATGTGCTTCTGCAGGTGGCTCAGCATGCATGGATTTCACAGGCTCGGCAGTGCCGGAGGGAAAGCGGCAGCTGGCTCCAGCTCCCCGGAGCGTATCGGGTGTCATGCACAGCCCAGCCCAAGCAGCAGCCTCTCGCCGCACCACGCTCCCATCCTTCTCCCTTCTCTGGGTCACCCACTCCTGCCCCAGGCCACCAAGACCTGACAGGCCCGGCCAAGTAAGCCTTCGGCCAAGCCCGTGCCCAGCAACAGGGGACGAATGTCACTTCTCATCTCCTTTATCTGTCACAGGGCTCTGCCAGACTCGGGAAACGGGTTCTGCGACCCCTTTCCAACTCCCCCCCCCCTCCGTCTTCAAAACGAAGAATCATCTTTCCTCTCCAGGCTCCAAACGCTAAGTTAAAATTGGCCTCTTCTCAAATAAGAAAAAAAAAAAAAAAAAAAAAAAAAAAAAAAAAGTGTTTTCATTGAGGCAGCGGTCTCCTTGGAAATGGGTGTTGAAGAAATATTTTTATCTCCGGCAAAGAGAGAGAAAGGGTGCTCTTTCACATATCCCCTCCGCTCCTTTTGCTTACAGACTACCTGAAGGCAACAGAGCAGACCAGCAGCATGGATGCCCTGCTCCAGCCCTGGTGACGTGGGGAACAAGCGGGTTCTGCTCCCAGCCGAGGCCTGGACTCAAACATGGACAATGCCAGACAGGCCTCTGCCTCAGCTCTCACCTCTTAGCACAGCAGGTCAGGTCCGGAGGTGAAAAGCCACGTTCCTAAATATCACAGCAAGACGCTTCAGCTCATGTTTCAGCTGCAAGGTCAGACCAGTGGCAGCTCCCAGCTCATCCTGCCTGCAAACTCAGGCAGGCACTTCTGCATCTCAGACACCTCATGAGCTTTTCAAGATTTTCTTCTGATCCAGAATCCCGATTCAAAAATGACCTTACCATCATTTTAATGGAAGCTAAGATTCCTTGAATGCAGAGAAGAAAGTTAGAAGACTCATGGACTAGGAAAGCAAACCCAAATTCATCTTATTTCATATGCATTTTCACAGAATGCTTGAAAAAGATTTGTGCTTAAAACTAAGCTGAAATGTGGGCAACAAGCTCCCTAACACCAAGACACACACAAACTTCCTCCTCCTTCTTTTTCAGGCTCTCTCATTCTTTAGGCCACTTTTCCAAGGGAGAGCAAGAAGAAAGAAAATCCTTCTCTGAGTGTTTAGTTTCATTTAATCCATTCGAGTTGCATATTAGGAAAAATTTCTTCCCAGAAAGTGGTGCTGCAGTGGCACAGGCTGCCCAGAGAGGTGGTGCAGTCACCATCGCTGGAGGTGTTCCAGGGCCGTGTGGATGTGGCACTGAGGGACGTGGTCAGTGGGCATGGTGGGGATGGGCTGGCAGCTAGACCAGGTGATCTGTGAGGTCTTTTCCAACCTTAATGATTCTATGAGCCTATCTTCAGGGACTGATTACAAATCATCCCAGCTGCTCCACAGCTGGAGAGGCTACACTAAACCTCCAAAGTGAAGCAAGGCTGATCAGCCCTCCTCAAGTCATCCAAATGTTGCCTTGGAACCTATCTGCTGCCGGCAAAGTGAAGCCACCACCTCACCATGGAAGCAAAAGGAGAAGACTACCAAAGCAGCAGACTTTGGATGATGACACACCCCAGACATGGAGCACTTCATGATGAACTGCAAGAGCAGGTTTCCTGATGCTCAGTATTCTCAAGCAATGATAGGGTACCTGACCAGGAAGGAAATGACGCTGTGGAATGTCTCCAGCAGCACTGCTGCTCTGATTCAGCTGAGCACTGCCCAGATGGTCAGTGAAATGCCCAAGAACGTGAAGGCTCCCAAGGCTCTCCACAGCTACAGACAGTACTGGTGGCAGTGAGGCCATGCTAGCTTCAGGTTATAAACAAGATGACAGCAAGATGTTAACGAGTCTGATTCTGGAAAAAAAAAAAAGAAAGAAAAAAAAACCCCACAAAGCAAGACATCACTAAGACAGGGCTTTGAAATAGATAGCTAGGATCCTCAGCAAATTCTTTGTCTCAGTCCTAATGACAGCATTTTCCAGGACGTAGGTGCCACAGAATTCAGAAGGCTGCTGTTGGTAGAAATGCATGCGATCTATTAGGGATCCTTCCTGTCTCAGAAAGGATTAGAAAGAAAAAGAAACACATTTTAAAATTAATATAGACTGAGCTAAGAGAAAAAATGTTCAGAGAGCCTTAGCCTAGTGAAACTTGGGCACATCTTCTCCAAGGGGAAGCTGTAGTGTAAATCAAAGTGAAAGGGGAAAAAACAGCCTGCGGAAGATATTAATACTTGCAAGAGAGGTAAGGAAGATGTCAGCAGGTGACAAAACAGGAACCGAGAGAAAAGGGTGCAAGTAACCACTTTTATTTGGCAAAATAAAGAGGCAATGGTAAAACAGGAAAAAAAAAGTCTACCTATGAGTTGGACTCAATCATTCCTTTGGGTCCCTTCCAGCTTGGGATATTCTGCCATTCTGCACTCGCGTATCTGTATCAAAAGCTCTACATACATAGGAAGAATTGTGGCTGCTCAGTTATGTGCACACAATTCAATCCCAGAATATCACTGCTACAAACGTTTCCAGCAAGCCAAGTGATTAAAAAAAATAATTTGAAGATGTTCTAACCTATTTAGGAAAGATCTCAGTGGGCAAATGAGGAGCAGGTATGGCACCGTTTCAAACCGACATTATCTGTTTCTAGCTGATGGTGTCTCAGAGGCGTATGATTTCAAATGCTTGTGGATTAACATTTTAGCAGATAAAGCTCAAGACAGGGTATGAGCTAGTGTGTCTGCTACACACTACTGAAATCACATTAGATAGTAAGCAGGATGAGTGGCTAGCTAAGCACCTCTTCATAATGGAGGAAAAACCCATATGATCACCAGGAGTTTCAAAGGGAATGACACACACAGGAGGCGTCGTGGAGCTAATGCCAAAGAACACCCTTGAAATTTCTAAATTATAGAAAACAATTTCTTAGTTCAAGGAGTGTTACATTGAAAATGAGCAATTTCATATTAGATTTCATCTTGACAGAAAAGAGCAATCAATCGTAAAAATAGAAATTAGTGGTAGCTTAGGTAAAAAAAGATTGTGACAATCACATTTTGGTATGTGGAAGCAGAAAGGAAACTAAGCCAGTGCATTTCCTTATATACTTGGCATCTGAGTGGGACCAGAGGTACGTTGGCCTGCTTTTCCTGGATAAACAGATCACTTATTGGGCTTGCCCGTCACACTGCCACACTGGAACGCTGTTTCATATTCCAGCAAGTGGGAAAAAAATCAAAGTTGAGAGAAGGAAACAAATTGGAAAGGGCAGAAAAAAAGAAAAAAAAAGACAAGGGAGTCGTAAAGACAGGAGGAGAAACCTACAGCCAAAGCTGAAGGACAGTAACGAGTTTTTCAGCAGCTCTCAAGAACAGCAACCACAGCAATCAGCTTGATGTGCTATGATGGGGAAAAGGTAGAAACACAGGCAATACTGAAGAAAGAACTAAAGCATTCAATACGTATTTCTGTTCTATATTTGGAAAAAAAGTCAGCTGTTGTGGTCCTGTGATAACAAAATGCCTTCCATTCCAGCAGTAACTAAGGAAGATGTTCCAACAGCTTCCCAACAAACAGCACTGTTGTCCTCTTATCTAGCTAGAGCTTACAAACAGGAGGGATATAACTAGATAACAAGTGAGTTTTAACTCAAATACAGCTGTGAACACATTTAGGTGTAGACACTTAGGAAGGCCTGCAGTCACTAATTGCTCCATCTGTATTCACTGCACCAACAAGCCGTAACTACACTGCTCCTGCTGTAAGGCCAAAAGCACAACCACAGTGCAGTGAGACCCTCAAATGCAAGCACTGATTAGAATCTGTATCATGAAAGCCTTGCTGCTGTTAGCTGAGCTTGGCCAAAAAACTGTATCTCCACCAAATCCAGAATGCTGCATCAGGGAAGCAGTGCTATTGAAGAAGCTACCAATACCAATTTTTGCAGCACCTGAATTTTCCTAGAGGCATCCACTTCTTCCACTAATGAGATTTCAAACAACATCCCGGCACTGACCAAAGCAAAGAAACCACTGTGGGGTCTTATAACGGGAGAAAGAAAATGACTGAAGACCACAGGTAGGGGAGCACAGATTCAGCTGAGTTCCTCAACACATTTGGGAGAGCATTCAGATACATGAATGAAAAATACTGACCATGAAAACATCCACTCCTGATATTTAACACGGCTTCCTGGCAACCTCTCCTATAAAACAAAACTGAAAAATAGTTTTTAAAAATAGCCTGAATGCTAAG